TTTTATATTTTTAATAAAAAAATTACAATTAAAGTATTTAAATTATTAATAAATTTTAAAAGTTAAATTTATGTATTATTAAAGTATTATTTTATAACCAACTAACTATTAGTCCGAATAGAAAGAATTTGATTCCTTTCAAGTAAAATTTTAAATTCGAATATTGTGAATAGAGAAATAAGTATGGGAGAGCTTCTCCCAAATGAGATACAACGTGACTCAATTCTAAATTAGTAAAAATCCAAAATGATTATCAGATACCGAAAAATGAGTACAAAAAAATATTATTTTATAAATTATATTTAAAATTTAATTAGTCTAAAAACAATACTTAAAAAAATTAAATAACTTCTTTAAATAGTTCAGATTAATGCAAAGAATATAACTTTAAGATCACTAAAAAAATAAATTTCAAAATACTCAAAAATTAATATAATGACACGTGACCTTTAAAACTGAAAAAAGAAACTAAAAATAAATCTTATGGACGATTGCTGTTGATCAGGAATTTCGTTACATTTCACCTCAAGATATTCTTTATTCTTTTTTTGTTTTATTCATAGAATGGCTCTTTTTAGAGGAGGGGTAAGTCCAAGTTATCATAATCATAATTCCTTGACTCCATCTCTCTTTAGACCCTCAATCAAAGCTAATTTGTAACCAACTAACCCATAGGGCTTAATAATGACTTATAATATGCTGATTGTTAATTTCCTGAGATTATGATTATGTTTAACTTCAATTGATTGGATTTTGTCTCGACACTAGTTATCTGATTTGCTCATTGGGTTACAACTTTCGTTGACTCTGAATTACTGAAAGTGAGATTTTGAACGCAATTCATCAACGCTAAAACAAATTAAATTTCAATGTGAAATCCCTCTGTTTTGGAGAAAAAAATTACTCCAAGAAAATTGATTGACAGAAAATTCTTTTATATAATTTTTTTTGGTATAATTTTACATATCATTTAATGAGTGAATTTTTTTATTCTACTAAAATTCTTAATATTATATATCTAAGTTTATTTAATTATA